AAAAAAAAAAAAGATTTCTTCTTTTTGAATTAGTGGATGCACAAAGCTCGTCTGAATCTACAACTAAACTGTGAATCATAAACACCACATACAATGGATAAAATGACAATTAGAAGCACAATTAAGATAGCTTTTCTATGCATCTACCTATCAGAAATGTGTGTATGTGTGTACAAATGAAGGAACCGATATGGACTAACAATGAAAATTTTTAAGAAATCAATTGTTGTTTTGAATGATCTTCAGCCTTGTCAAGTAACCATTATTACGGACAAACAAAGATACTTTCGGGTAAGAGATTATCACAAAAATACTTACTTCTGAACAAATGATTCTCCAGGCTTCCTTTCGGCATGAACTCATAAACCAACAGTCGATTTTCACCCTCCAAACAGTAGCCAACGAGTTTTACAAGGTTCGGGTGATGAAGTTGACCCAAATAATTAACTTCTGTCTGCAAATCATCTCCATGCTCTCAAAATGCTAATAATAGTATACTTCAATTAAGATGAACAAAAAATTACAGAACTTTAAAACAACCACCTAATATTCATCCCTCATTTATTAAGGAAAAGAAAAACTCCAGTCCAGTTATCTTTCATATACACAAATAACCTTCTTACAGCATTACAATACACCCTACTAACTTTAGAAAACGATAAGCTAACCTCAGGGAATTTCTTCCCTGTTTGCTACATAGCCAAAAGAAGAAGAAGAAAAACATACCAACCACTCTTTGTGGCCTTGAAATCCCTCGGGCTTCAACTTCTTCACCGCAATGACCAAGCCTGATCCGGGCCTTGAGGCAGTAAGGGTATGTTCATCAATCCAACCTTTGAAGACGTACCCGAATCCTCCTTCCCCAAGAAGACTGTCAGGCCTAAAGTTTCTCGTTGCATTTCGTAGTTCGTTAAATGTGAAGGCCTTGACATGTGGTGATGACAGAATCTCAGCTTCCGATCTCGGAGTCGAGAGGCCTTCCGCAATGCTTTTGCCACTGTGTGAGGGAATGCTTATGTTGGAAGGTATGGATGAGTTGCTGTTTCTGTTCGGGTAGCGTGATGCTTCTAAAAGTGAAGAAAGGGACATTTAATATGTTAACCAAATGTGGATAAAATAAAATGGACATTCGAATGCAAATACAGAACAGTGGTTGTAAGGGTAGTATAGATTAACTGATAATCGAACATTTTCTATGTAAAATTGTCTTTTATATGCGGAATTTAATGGAGGGACAAGCGCCGTGCGGCCTCCATCATCATGAATGAATCCTAAAACTAGATTCAATGCATAGGAAAGCAGTGAAACCAACTAGCATTGCGGATACTCATAAACTGAAATATATTTTTCTTTTTTCATTCCTTCATAAGCAGCAATTACTTAAATCCCTCCCTGTATATTAATTTAAAACGTGTTGAGCCTAGGTGGCAGATTCTCACGCTTCGGATGCTGACATGTCGAAAATCTATGCTTCGTGATGTAGTTTTTATATTATTTTTGCTCTGTAGTTATGTTTGGTATTAGACATAAATAACTTTACACATATATTCATTAATAACACCCATGTTATACATGGGTATTAGTATATGTAAATAAGAAATTTTGGAATAAAACCAGTGATACAAACATTTCAAGTCATCAGACAAGTTGTTTATCCGTTGAAGCTTAAACCCTTGGAAAATCCAGCTCAGGCCCATCAGATTACAGGGAAATAATAAGCAAAAACGACGCTTTAACTTCATTTTTGTTCATCCCAAACCAAAGATTCGTCAAAACAAACAGCAAGAAAAGAAAATTCACAAACAAAGATAAGTGGGATTAGACAAAAGAATAAGATCAAAACAAGAATGATAAAATACCCGCGGATGCGGAGGAGCTGAGAGTGGCATCAACTCTTGCTGCTGATGAGCCAACGCAATTTCCCATGATTATGATCAGCTCCAAAACCAAAAAGGGTCCTCAAAAACAATCCTCCACAGCCCCCATATATATATATGACCAAAAATTAAAAAATAAAATCAAGAAAAGTGAAGGAAGAAAGCGCGCAGGAGGCCTTTCTGTTAGGCGTTCAGATTGATTGGAAGCAAGGAGAGAGAGTTGTGAACACGAGACAAGAAATAACAATGAAATAAAAAAGGTACAAGGTGTTATAAAATGCGAGCAATATAAAGAACACAATGTATAAAAACCGGAATAAATTATAAGTTGCTTTATTTCTTCACATTCGGTACACACATCACAATGTGTTTGGCCCCTTTTATAGGCAAAGGGGCACACATCCCAATACACATATATATATAATAATAATAGGATAATACTTGTTAATAGTGGTAAATCCACTTTCTCTTAACACTCCCCCTTGGAGTTACCACTATTAAATGTGCGTTATGCTGCCTCGTT